GCCACAGCTGTTGGTTAGAGCTTCTGAACAAACTTAGACCATCACAGTTTAATTGCAGCTTCAATTCAGTGAAACGGATTTTACGTAGCCAATTTTCTGAAGTCCTCAGTAAAGTTTACTTCAATCCTAAATGGTAGTAAGTTCCCGATTCCAGGATTTTAGGCTCCACGTCGTTGCATCGACGTAGAACACTCCGGATGGACGTTGGAAGTTCTGGATACGGCGCACGAAAAAGGTCCAGTATTTGGTCAGCCTTCTTTATGTTTATGTCACCACCTTTCATCATTTGATTGACTATTCTGTCTAACTGTTCTTTCATTGAAAGATGAATGGCTGGAGACATTTCTGACATCACACAACCTATAAATTTTCAATAATTAAAGAGATACTACCGCTGGTTGTGTTCTCTGAACACTGGATGTAACTACATGATGTAGTGACTGTATATGAGACAATATTAGCACACTGCTCTGTAGCTGCGGTAGTCTGTGATGACAACTGGATTGTCTGTCTCTTCGTCACTGCTCGGTAACTGACACTTCTTTATAAATCCTGCTTTTAACTTCCTCAACCTTCAGTAATAGATTGCTCGGGAACATCTAAACGACCTCAGGCATTTTGTGGCTTGAGCCCGCCCTTTCGCAATCTTATCGACCTGTCTATTATTATTCTGAAAGAAATATTTGACTTAAGTAACACTGAACATAGACAGCACCCAAAGTTTTCAACAGTGCTAATAACTCACCTGCATAGCGTTCGAATTTTGAAAAAGTGGTTTACAACCAACAACTCTTTGTCTCGTGTCTGTTTGTTGATGTATTAAAACAAGACCTGAAGTTCGATAGACTATTCCTCACCAAAAGTCTGTATTGTATTAAAATGTAAATTCATTTATTCAAATTTACTACTTTAAGGCTTGTTCATTTTATGGAGATGAAATGTTATAGTGAAAAACTGCGCTACGAACATTTTGGGGATTTCCCCAAAATTGGCAGCTGAGTCTGTAACATATATCTTCAATTTTTATTGTACTTGTTATTGCTTTTATCACTATAATCACTGTACTTCATTCACTGTAACGGTTTATTACTTAAAGTGATACATCTTTTGTCCGTTTCCGTTTCAGCTGGCTTCGCAGGCTTTATCAGGCGTAACTGTAGGTTCTTTGTTGGTACATCATCGACCTTTTACATATCTTGACACGTTATTATACACTAAAAATGATTTTTTTATTTTGTAGAATATTGTCAATGACAGTTCTACAACGGAATGAAAACCTTCGTATACATGAATTATTTGTAAATATATTAACTGTAATAAACATTTATATACGTCATAAATCAGTCTTTTATAAATAGTGATAAATCGGTTAACATTAAGTTTAATTGGCAATGCGTGATTAACGAAAAGTAATAAAACATCCCAGTAAGAAATGTACGTAAGTATACTCCCTAGGTCTTCCGTGGTTACTATAGGTTTTCGTAGATGTTTTGCGTTAAAACAGTTTTCGGGAAACGTCCCTAAAGTTTGGGGAAATTTCGTGGTTTGCGTCTCATTTCCACAAAATGGGCCAGGAACTGTTTTAGTAAACGTCAACACCTTTATATAATTTCTTGATAAGGTGCAGAAAGCAACGTAAGAAAGATAAGATAACGTGAAAAGCTATAGAATATCAAAGATTCCCATTTTGAAAATTAGAACAACACATATAAGCGAACAATTGTTTTCAATTAGATCGTCATCAGGCTTTAATCTAAGTTATAAAAACGTAGAGTTTTTGTGAGTCGCTATTAAACAAAGAAGTTAAGAAGAAATGTCAACTCAACGGTAAGTCCTAAATATTTGTTATACTTCTAGTTGTTTTTTTAAGGAATAACTTTTTTTATTAACTAATGTGTGTTGTCTGTAGTGCTTCGTGCTCAAGTGAAATTTCAGTGAACGTAAGCGAGGCGTTTCAAGTTAATATGCTGAAAGCTGGGTTGAATTTGATAGTGCGCTAAAGGATTTCCATAACGTATGGAAGAATAATTCTATGTTTTTTCAGATAACCCATACGCACTATATTCACGCAGAAAGCGCCTACTTACATTGCTGAACATGCTAACGCCATTCGCACGATCAAAAGTGTTATACAAACTTCAAAAATGCGTTTTGTTTATTTGGAATATGGAATTGGCGTCTGGTAGTTTACTGTTGACTGCTGAAAGCATTATGAGGTGGATCTAAGCACTTGTGAATGCAATTGTAGCATATTTGTTATGTGTTATGGTGCAGAATACTTATTTGGACAAAAAGTCATTTACGAATTTGTCGAGTTAAAAGGTTTAGAGTCCATGAAACTTACAAATATGTGTGTGATGGAGATCTTGTAGTGGCATTGGACCGTAACCACGCAATCCTCAAAGATGACCACGAGACAAGTGGCAAAATAGATATTCAACATTTAACGCGGAGAACAACCTAATGATGGAAAAGATAGGAAGAAGGAATTGGATGAGTTCGAGTTGGTCGAATGGCGTGGCTCAGCCTTGCAGGCTTCATCCTACTTATGTAACAGTTTTGCATCCATATTGAATATGCTGTTCTATCTCCAGCATAAATATGTTCTTCATCATGTATTGATGATTGTTACAATACGAATGAATCAGAGTAGATAATGATGTGACATCCACGTAAGGTATTATAGACTGAGCAGATACATCATGATAAATCTACAATTTTAGGATCAAGTCTATTAATAAAGCAGTACTAATATCGTAGTAGACCATAATTCTACAAACTAATCACTATTTCTTCAGCTCTAAATTATTGTTTTCGTTGCGGAAATATAGCAGTAATTTTGGACTTCCAAGGTCGGACACAATTTAACGACAAACGTTTTGGGGCTGTACCAGATAAAGAAAATGTCAAACCTCCTTTAAGGATTACTTATTACTTCTCATAACGGAATTCAAAACTTTAATTTCTTTTCTCTGCCTATTATAATGCTTTAGTTAATTCCCATTCAACTGTAGCTAAAAAACCACACGAACTGCAACGTAAAAATAGGTAATAAACTTATACAGATCTCTAGGATTTCCATCCGAAGGTCAGATCTATGTATTTAGATAAACAAATACACATATAACTTCTATTTTGACTGGAATTATTGTAACCAAATAGCCAAATGCCACTGTAATTTCACTGGGCCCTAAACACACAATCCTCAAAGCTGAACAAAAGACAACTGAGAAACTAGATATTAAATATTTAGCGCGGAGAAAAACCTATCGATGGAGAAAGCGGGAACAAGAAATGGTATGAATTCGAATTGATCGGATGTCGTGGCTCAGCCATGCAGGCGTGGTCACTTTTAAACGTTTTCTTATACTTTTTATTCAGATTAAATATAATGTTCTATCTCTAGCCTGAGTGCGTTCTTCATTATATAGTGATGATTGTTACAACGCGATGAGTTGGTGTCGATCATAATGTGAATTTCACGTATGATCTTATAGTTTAGGCAGTTACATTATGATAAATCTAGAATTTTAGGATTAAGTTTATTATTAGAGCGGTACTAATAACGAAGTAGGCCATAATTCTACATATGTTCATGCTAAAGATATAGGTCGACACAATGAACCTTCAAGCTACTGACCAATGGCCGTTCTCTCTATACCTTCAAAAATTACGGAGTCCCTGATATGAGACGGTATGCGCGACTGTTTATTATCCTTAAACTTCTTTTCACACCAACAGCATGGTTTCAGGAAAGGTCATTCTTGTATAACCAGCCTACTAGCTGCGGTGAACAGATGGACAACCATCCTTGATCGCATGGGGAAGGTTGACATCATTTGCCTTGACTTCTCAAAAGCTCTTGATAGGGTCAACCATGAATTTCTTATCAATAAGCTTAAACGATTGGGTATCAAATCACCTTTAATTGACTGGCTCACTTAATATCTGAAAAATCGACATTTTAGAGTCAGGGTTAATTTCACTTTCTCTCAGGCTATGGAATGTTCTGGTGTCGTTCCCAGGGTTCAGTACTAGGATCTCATCTTTTCTTGATTTCTATAAAAGACCTTCTACAACAGGTGTCGTCTGGCTTATTACTTTTTGCCGATGATGTAAAACTTTGGAGAGAGAGATACGCAACCAAGAGGATATATTGACTTTTCAGGGGGATCTGACTCGACTTCATGGTTGGGCAGATGACAAAAGTAGTCCATCTGAAACATGTTGCAGACTACATTTTCAACCTAGAAAACTTCTCTCTAAAAGTATCCCGAGTTGAAAAAGATTTAGGAGGACTGGTACCCTACGATTTGAAGTCATACGCTGACTGTGGCAAAAATGCTTTTCGAGGAAACCCTACACTGATAACATTGAAGCTAATTTTTGGCCAGTTTGACGGTAGAGCTTTCCATATTATCTTCAGCAGTTTTATTAATCCCCATTTTAAATACGGAAACATAGTGTTTCCTCCCTCACTTCAAAAGGATAAGGACACTAAGGAGTGTATCCAACGGCGAGCCACAGAATCAGTCCGCGGACTCAAATTCAAATCTTGTGAAGAGCGCCTCCAATAACTAAACCTTTAATCATCAGAGTATAGGCGTCCTAGATTTGACCTTCTAATGGCTTACACTATCCTTAACACTTCTGGACATCCCCTTTAAACACCTACTTAAGTTAGCTCCAACATAATACTAAGGGGTAACACCCAGAAACTAGAGACACAACACAGTAGAACGTACAGTAGACACACGTTTTACTCCTTAAGAGTCGTCAAACACTGGAATTTGCGACTTGATAGGAGTCATTTACGAGGCAACTTGACTTATTCCTAAGGTCTAAGGATAATATCTTATTATGACTTACCAATTGTTTTTTACTTTGTTATCGTTAATATATCTAGGTTCCTGTCTGAAGGTATTTATGTTTCACTGCTACTAGACGAAGAAGCTCATTAGGCGAAAGCTTCTTCTATTCCGTCCACAAACAATCGAACCATTTGAACCATTGGATCCGTGTGCAGATTTCAAATGTGGCGTTGAAATCTGTTTTTTATTTTTGGTTCTGTAGTTCTCTCAATTATGAGTAATTTCGCTTCCTCTGCATTTTCTTGTGCTTTTAAAAGCTGGAAGACACATGGACGTGGATTGTTAAGTATGTTTTACTGCTTTATAGAGTGATTAGTTGTTGCCCGCTATGGAAATAATGCGTGGAATACGTGCGAAAATCTAACACTCTCACGGGTTTCAGACGTTGATGTTCACGAAGATTGCAACATTTCGGGGCATTGCAAAACGGCCGAATGCCGCAAAAGTAGTGAGTATTTTAGATCAAATTTTGTTCATGTAGTATAAACGGGGAATCGTTTTTTGCCTAAATATCCGATGATAAGCCTTATTTCCCGGTATCATGAAGCAAATTCGAGTGCTGTGTGATTAATACGTCCTGCTCCTGACGTTTTGATCCCACGTTTATGAAGAGAAATGAGTTTTTGCCAATGAATTGTGGTGTTTGTGGCTGAATAGGCGAGACGGATTTCTAGACAAACTAGTCAGTTTTAAAACAACAGGTGTTGAATTTGGAGCAAGCTTAATTCATTCGTTCGACTAACAAGCATATTGGCACTACATCTGAAGTCAGTTCGTGATGAAAACCCTTCCTCCAGTTTCTAACCCCGACGTCCATTTGTAAATAATAACCCTAATTCCTTAAAATGATATATGATCATCTCTTAACCATAGTTAGTAGGTAATCAGTCTGAGGATTTCTTTAGCGTCCCTTTAGGATCGTTCGAAATTGGTCTCATCAGTCAATCGGTTATGAGCAGGTAGGTTCAAGCTTATGATTTTGACCTTATCCCCACCTTTTTAGATTTTTAAAATTCTAAAGTAAATTTGTGAGACCAGCTTTTTGATCAAGGTGTTTTCATATGCTTCTTAATACATGCGTATGCGTCTCATAAACAAACAAGTAGTATTAGTTTGTATACTACTAAAAAGGGTTGTAATAGTCCTATGGAAGGTTTCAATAGTTAGCTTTTACTTCTAAGTTATTGTAAACACCGAAAAACGTCTAAATTGTCTGAAATCTTTAGAGTTTCGCAACTTCTTGGTTCCGAATATGTCATGCTTGTCAAAGTTTCTGATTTTGCTATGCATTACATTGACATTTCTTACCACTCGCCCCGTGTGGCCTAAATCCTCATGGTATTGGTTTACACATTCATTCTTATTCATTTAAAACTATACTCTGGTTGTTACTAATCATTTTGTGTGACTTGACTTTCAAATACTTCCATGAATTTGATGTTCATCTTGTTTCGCTAATGCGGTTTGGCAACTTGGACTGATGCATATATGTGCCTGGTCCTACATTGCAGCTGACTGAATGCTTAAATGTTCTTGTTAGTGGACCATTAGCGGCTCTAATGAACCTTCAATCTCAAGTGAACGTGTTGGTTTCGTTTGAGAAGGTTCCTATTGACTAAATGCTTATATATTAAGTTTTTCTATGGAAGCTATTTTTATCCTATTTCTGTACCTGGAATTTAAACTTCCCTCATCTTTTGTAATTCTTTCTTGAATCCTTGGTATTCGAAGATTACTTGTAGCATTAAGATAGGTATTGATACTTATTATCATTCGTCAAGAAGGGGTGCATTGTAATTGTGTCGTCAACACGCTAGAGTCAATGATTGATGTTTTCATTCAGTCCTCACGATTAATTTCCCATTTTCTGGAGACGTACATAGTTACGCTATTTATGTTCAATTATGACCTTTCCACCGATCGTTGAAATATGTTAATACATTCGCTATATGGCTATAGGTTGTAGTTATAAGTGTAACAGAATCAAATATTGATAAGAGCGATATTTCACCATCTTATTATTGAAATAATGAAAGCAACTCGTGTCGTTAAAGAAAAAATGCGGTCCTTCATAGCTTTTCTTTTCGACGATTTTTGTTTACCTAAACCATACAATCGTAATTAGTTAACTTTATTTGCCGAAATATAGTCTTTTACAGAATAGAAGTGTTGAATATTTAAATAACTTGAAGTTGTATCTTGTCATGAATTGTTTACGGAAATCAGATATTGAGAGGTAATGTAATAGTCGGCTAGTGAAAAAGTGGTAAGGCGGAGATAATTGTCCACTTGATAGCTATAAGGAATTGGATAATTAAAAGTCATAATCATTGCTAATTATTAGTTTTGGAAGTAATTGGAAGGAGTGGAAATAAAGTGAAGATGGTAAATGATAGATTATAGTAGAGAGGAAGGTTAAAACCATGAGTGAATGAGGGGTTGAACATACTGTTTTTTTTACGCAGAAGCTAGGCTTAAAACGACAGATAACAAGAGCTTCTTATGTACATAAGTTTTTCGTTTCTATTCCTTTTGTATGTACGATTTTAAAGGTTTATGGTCAAGCGAAATGACCAGAATTGATTAGATGCTCGAAAAGTGGGCTTTTGACTGACTTCTGTAATCCTTTGGAAAGCTGGACAGGATAATGTTCGGTGATGCGTTTCGAAAGAGCTGTTATAATTGGCCGGTCGGGTGGTAAACCCTCGAACTTTATGTATCAATAACACTTCTTTGTTTCTTTCTGTTTGACTGTTTGGTTGTTAGACATAGCTATATGGGAAGTGATCACTTGTGAATTAACAAAATAACCCAGTTAGTAACAGATGATTAGCGGTGACGTCGAGAAAACAGAACTAAAATAAGTGAATCCATACATAGCATATATTTTGTTCAGGAAAACCATTATGTTTCGTTCTTGTCTCTAGTTGTTCGTTCTTGTCTTTATATTTATTAGGTAAAAGTCAAAACCCAGGGGGACCTTCAGAAGGTAGTGGTTCCCTCAACTCCGCCAATGTGAACCATCATAGTATCGGTTCTAAGGAACGTCTTGGTGGTGCTGGAGGAGGAGGCTCTGGAAATGGCACTGGCTCTTTCATAAGATGTAACAAATGTGGTGGTCCTTTAAAATCCCTTGATCCAAAAGCATCATGTAATTGTTTAATGTTGATTTATTTAGACTGTTTTCAAGTTGGTTATTTAAATCTATTTATTTTCACTTAAGATGATTTCAGAATGCTTTCTCACCATAGTTATGTTTTAATTGCAACTACTTTTACTTTGACCACCACTTACGAGTACGGGGATACAAAATTGTGTTTTGCAAGTGGATTGAAGGACGAAGTATTGGTGGTAACCATTGAAGTGTAGCATAATAGAAAGGCAATCGAATCGAGGACATTTCCCAATAATATACCGATTAGAGTTGTTACATCTTTTAATCATTACAAATAAAACGAAATATGAAAAGAATGCCATTCATAAGTAGTGTGGGACGTAAAAAGCATTTGTATCAGTCTAAATTATATTAGTTAAGCAATATGAATGCCAAGTAGTAGTAGAAAATGATTACTTTAATCTACAAGGACGAGGAAGAAGCCATACTGAACGATATTAATTCACATATGAGTCACTAGCAACAAGGTAACCAAAACCATGTACAACAGTTTCTTCTTTGGCAACTGCTTTTTAAAATTCACATCAAATATTCCTTATTCAGCTGTTGAATCACTTAGTGAAACTTGAACAATGTAAAATAGTTTGTATGAGAAACTTCCCAAGCCATATTTATGCTCAGTTTTTGCTTAGTATCTTTGGTGCTACCATAATTTAAATTTCTTTGATATGCATCTTGTTCATTTCCTCTCTTCGCTTTGATGGAATGAGCATCTGTACCAGGTCCTGTGTTGATTATCACTAACCGATTTGAGACAAAAGGCTAACATGAATTCCTATCTGGTTATAAACTTGTATATACTATGAAACAATTCTAAAGAATCAGTGACGACCCAAATCATTCACGTATAATTGTTTAAGATACCTCAAAGAGTTATGTTTTATCATAATACTCTAAATTCTAATCTCTTTATCATCCTCTGAGAACATATAAGCACCGTTTGTTTTCGTCCTTTTTTCTATTATTTGTTTCAGTTTAATCCTTAATTGCAATATAACGTAGCAGTAACGTTTATAACATATGCGCTGTGTGAATTCCAGTCTCATGATAGACATGCCTTTCATAATGTGTTTGAGAATGTAACCTATTGGTGTACCAAGAAGTATAAAATTTAAATGTAAATATAAATTACTGGTCGTCTGAAATCGTTTATTGGCACCTATAGGGTAAGGTTTGCCAACGTGTATAATGATTAGAACTTTGATATACTAAAGTATTTTATCAGTATATTTTAAAAAATGTGTAGTTTATTTATTCCAATGCAAACGATCCATTCAGTATTTATAAAAGAGTAAAAATAAGCAAGTTCGCGGGATCGGGTAGTATCACTAGACACCAAAGAAAATATGGTTTGAGGCTCAGTTACATAAGTTGGTATGTAGTTACTGAGTTTCACTAAGTTACATTTAGTCTCCCTAATTATTTACTATGAGTATTCGTTATGCATCATAAGTAACCAATTTCGTAAACAATTATAAATGATTTTACTAACTTCATAATTAATTATATACGCTTTTACAGATATATCACGTTTCATGGAGTGTGAAGCATGTGAACAACTCTACGAATTAACAGATAAGAGTGATCTCTCATCATTTAGTAATGTAGATGAAAGCCGACATCTTTCGCTCGTTAGTCCTAAGGAGGCAAGTCATTCTTTGTGCAAATATGTAGTCTTGTTATTACATTGTTTACTCTTTTAATTACTAGTTTCGTATTTACAGTTTTTAGTGTCTATGACGCTATTGTCGCGATATATTGTAGTAGAATATCTTCGAGATTATTCCTATACTTCGTATATCACTCGTCCTGATAACCGTCATTATAATAATTTCCCAACAGTGTTTACTTTTCAGAAGCAAATACAGCTTATTTTCGCTCACCACAGAACAAACGACCATTAAGCACGATGCAAATACGAATATGAATAAATGAATGAATCAATGAATAGGAATTAAAATGCACAGATTTATAAGGATGCAAATGAGTCATCATGCGTTTTAAGTAATTGACATCTAGGTTAGTAAGAGGAATATATGTGTGGACTGTAACACATTCTCAATCATCTATGATCATACAACTTACTTATGCCTGTTACTCGTGGAGGAGCATAGGCCGCTCACCAGTACTCTCCATCCAACCTTGAGATGCATCTGTCAGCTGTCCTCCATGCACGACCTTGCACTGTAGTCCGTCGTACTAGTTCCGGACAACTGACAATCTTCTCAGGTACTCCGTAGTGTCAAAGAAGTTCACATAATTTTCTCCTATCTACACTGTCAAATGCCTTTTCATAATCAATGAAGTTGATGTACAGTGACGAGTTCCACTCAACTGACTGTTCGAGGATGATCCGTAGTGTCACAATTTGGTCTGTGCACGACCGATGCTTACGGAATCCAGTTTGTTGATCTCGAAGTTGGGTATCTACTGCATCTTTCATCCGGTTCAGCAACACTGTTGAAGACTTTCCCTGGTACTGACAGTAGTGTAATGCCTCTGTAGTTTTCACATTTGCTCAGTTCTCCTTTCTTTGGAATGTTGATGAGGTGTCCTTCTTTCCAATCCATCGGCACTTGTTCCTCTTCCCAAATATTTTTGAATAGTTACTTCGATGTCTGACTTCAGCGCTTCAGCTGGTATATTGTCGGGTCTTTCTGCTTTCCCGCTCTTAATTTGTCTGATGGCCATCGTGATTTCTTCGGTCGTTGTGAAGGGATATGTATAGGAAGGTCTGTGTGTGCTGCTTCGACGTCCGTAGGATTCAATGTAGCTGGTCTATTCAAGAGATCCTCAAAGTACTCTACCGATCTGTTCCTCTGTTCTTGAATTTCAGTAATTGGTCTGCCTTCTTTGTCCTTGACAGGTCTCTCTGGTTTGCTATATCTGGTGCCCCCTTGTACCAATATTTATGTGTTCAAATGAATAAATAAATAATAATATATCTCCCTGCTAGTTTCTTCGTTGTATCATATAGTTGTTTCATATTTCCTTCTCTTGCAGCTTTTTCCACCGTCGTTGCTAGTTCTTCCACGTATTTCTGCTTGTCGGCTTCAATGCTCCTCTTCACTTGCTTGTTTTCTTCTTTGTACTCAGCTTGTGCTTTGGCTTTCTCTGCTCGTGTTCGGCTGTTATTAATTGCTGTTTTCTTGTTCTTCTCTTCTTTGATCTTGTTCAGTGTTTCTTTAGAGATCCATTCCTTATGATGATGCTTCTTGCGGTCCAGGAACTCTTGACACGTTGACGTTAGTGCTTCTTTGATACCTTCTCAGTTGTCCTCCATAGTAGTTTCTTCCTCTTTCAGTAGGTCCTGTAAAGCTTGTAACCTGTTGTTGAGAACTATCTTGAATTCGTTGAGTTTGTTAGTATCTCGTAGGAAGGCTGTATTGAACTTTTGTAGTGATGTTTGTCCAGTTCTTCTTTAGCTTCAGTTTTAAATGGGCCACAACTAGGTGGTGATCTGAAGCTATATCAGCTCCTCTCCTGCTTCTTACATCTTCCATTGTCCTTCGGAATTTTTTATTGATGGAAATATTATCTATCTGATTCTCTGTGGTGTGGTCCGGTGAGATCCATTTAGCTTTGTGCATACGTTTGTGTGGAAATATTGTGCTGTCTATAACCAATTTGTTGAATGCATATAGATTTGTAAATCTTTCCCCATTTTCGTTTTCTCTCCCAGTCAATCCATGTTGTTCCATGATATCTTCATATCCGGTGTTGTCTATTCCGAGTTTGGCGTTTAGATCTCCCGTTAGAATGGTGAGGTCCTTTCTTGAGCACTTCACTATGGTTGATTGCAGCCTCTCATAGAATCGATCTTTATTGTCGTCATTGATATCATTGGTGGGTGCATAACATTGGATAACATTCATTGTGATCCCCTCCTTTGTTTTGAATGATGCTTTGATGATTCTGGATCCGTGGGATTTCCATCTTACAAGTGCATTTCGTGCTACTTTGGATAGCATTAGAGCAGCTCTCTGAGTGTGTGGAGCATTTTCCTTTTCGTGGCCGAAGTTTGGCATCATCTCTCCCGTATTTAGCCTTTGTTGTCTAGCTTGGGTTCAATGGGCTTCGCTGATTCCCAGTACTGCCAATTTGTATCTCCTCATTTCCGTTGTTATTTGACTGGTCTTCCCGGTCTCCCACATTGTCCGGACGTTCCATGTACCTACAAAAATTGTTACTCTGGTTGTTAGGAGGGGCATCAGCCTCGTGGCTTCCGAAGGAACTTGGCTTTCACCATGAGGCGTCATAATTGTTCTAAGTGAAGACCTTCTAACTCCCAGGGCAGAGTTTAAATGGTTTGAATTATTTTTTCTGGTTGGCGTTTTTTTAACGAGTTAGTTTTCTACGGGATGGGGTCGCTAACCCTATGCCCAACTCTCCTCCTTTACTCGGGCTTGGGACCGGCAGTAACTCTAAAAGGGCTTCAGATGGAGTTATGATCAAAGAAGCCTGAGCATAATACTGGTGCAGTTGTTGCCGACACAAATGAGACTTGAATAAGTTAACTAAAAGGCTCAATAAATCTAAACATGTACAAACCCGAGTTTCGGTGATGACAGTAAAATAAAATGATGGATTAGGCGGATTAATTCTTCCTATCCAACTGACCCCTGTAGTCTAAATAAGAATAAAATCGGTAAGTGGTTAGTGCTAGAGATCATAAGAGTTTCGGCATAATAACCATATATTTCTTGGCAGATATGAAAGTCACTTATGGTCCACGCTTGTTAGCACATCACTATGGTGTATGTCTACGATTTCGAGCGAATGTATGTGTTCCAAGTTTCAAATGTACACTGCTTAAGCACCCTAACCATTAACACTAGAACTTTCTCAGCGTAAACTAAATCACTGTAGAACTAAACGATGAAGTTAAATCGGTTTCCCAATGATAATTAGAATATTTCGTTATGCATCGAATTTCAGCAGTCACTTTCCTCAAATATTCATTCGATAATTTTAATTTTGTTACATTTGATGAGTGTAGGGGTTGGAGTAGTAATCCAACACATTGTTGAGTTCTTTTTCTGTATAATTATTCCGTTAGATAAAATTTAGTACCCTGTAATATAGCTTACGGTTAGTAGTTGTACAAGTATTTTTTACAGACCATCTATAGATCTATTAGGTTACGGTTAATGAAATTGTGCTGTGTACCGACGGTGAATATCTAATGTACAGATTATAAATATCCTGAAAGTATGCAAATGTTAGGCGCATGCGTTTCATAAACATATAGCAATACTCTTTGACACGATTATAAATAATGATTATTGACTGTGTATGTTTATTACCTGATGTCTAACAAAGTCTAAGTGCGACGTTGCAAGACCTCTTTGTTAAATATCAACGTGTGATATGTATGTATGGCACTGAAAGAGTATCTGGATGCTTAGAGAGCCAGTATATTTTTCATAAAACTCCATTTTGTCTTACTTTATTTGAGACTGCAATAGCTTAGTATATAATATTTCACAGGCCTTCAAAAGGTTATTCACTTTTAGTGAGATTATGGTATGCGTTACATTTCCTTTAGATGTTATAAAGTTTGAGAGGAAAAGAGTAAGTTAGTCTATGAAGTTGGAAACCCTGTACAGCAGGTGACTTCACCCAGTCACGGTTTACCGAAATATACAATGCAAATTAGTATAGAACTATATTGAGCAGTGTGTTTTCTAGGTTAATTAGAGCCACTAAGATGTTAAAAATCAACAGTTGTAAACCTTAAGTGGTTTTATTCGTCCGTTTATTTTTTCTGTTGTCAGTTAGCTTATTCATATTGTTTTTCTCCTTATAAATGGATACTAGCCAAAGAAATATTGATTAACCACTAATCACCTGATTTTTTCGAAGTAAATCTTTTGTAGGACTATAGTTCGTCAATAGTAAATATATTTACTGTGACATTGTGATCAATTTGGCATCAGCTAATGTTATATATCTTTGTGGAATGAACTTTCATCTAGTGAATTTCGTTGTCTTATTCAATATAGATTATGCACATTAACAATTGCATCATACAATGCTAGTTACTGTTCAAATAACTATAAAACCTTGTCCTATATTTTTGGTCTGTTTACTCAAGGTTGGAAAATGGTTGAGATGGAAAACATTATGCTTTGATAGAAGGCAATTCATCCTTGTTTATCATATTCATGAAGTTATACTTTTTTTTGATCATTACGTGTTTGAATCTTGGTTCACTTAAAAATGATATTGTCCATCATTAATTTGCCTTGATAAGATGATCTAATATGGAATATTTGACGTCTGTAAATTGTTCCTAATTATTAGGTCTTGGATCTATTGTGCCTTATTAGTGACAAATACAATTGACCTAAAGTAAGCTCTGTTGGTGAGTTGTAGGTGCTGTATAACTTCTTTTTTTCCCAACCCAGTCTCAATTAAATATAATTTGTAGGAAGAAAAGGAATATGAGCTTTCTAGTAGTGAAGTGAAGACAGACTAGAGAATCGAATAGATTTTCTCACCATTATTACCACTTCAAATAATTCACTTAATGTATTTGTTCCATATATTTGTTTATTGTCATTAGAAATGTTCTCTTTACTCCGATTTATATTAGATACATCAATACTTAGATCGCTATGTGGTAGGTCAAGATAAAGCCAAAAAAATTCTTGCCGTCCAAGTATATGCTCATTACAATCGTATACAGTATAATCGGTCACTGGCTACCTCGGAAGATAATGGATTTAATTCAAATAATTTAAACTCAGGGACAAATGAAGCCAAACCTACTGTAAATAATCATTATTCCCCAAATGAATTTTCGGGTACACGTTCTTGTACACCTGTAAATTATCAGAGCAGTTTAAGTCAACCCTCTGTATCTGGTACGAATATTTGACTTGCGTTTGTGAAAGTTGTCCATGTTCTTTGTATCTATTTTAAAGTGATTATAAACACTTACGATTTCGTTTTCAAATTATTTATTTATTTGAATATAAATGCTGGTACAAAAAGGCACCGAATATATATGCGCCACACAAGTCACTTGATTTGTGTGTGGGTTGTGATACTGCCCGGGTGCCCAGACCGAAGCAGGTGGTCTTCTTAGGGGGCCACACCCGGATGCTTCGACCTAAAGATCTGATCCACAAGGTAGTGTAGCAATGTCAGGAGATGCAGTACCATAGTAGCTGGTGACCAACGATTGGTTTATGCGCCATTTGTTCCCTCAGGATCCTGGTTTCCATGTGCACCATTGGTTTGGAATAAGGGTTTTTCAACTCTCCTAGGTGGATCCTCCATATCCACCAACCCGCTTAAAGCGACGGACATTTACTTTTCGTCCATTCAATTTCTTAAACAACACTTCCTTCGCGAGAATTCAGTGAGTAGGACTTCCCTATCAATCGCTGTTTACGCGTAACCATGTGAGAGCATTTCGAGGAGATTTGACCCTTCTCACCCTCGGTCTTACCAGGGCATTTGGGGGCTTTTAATTTCCTGAGACAAAGAGTTTGTCGTGGTCGGAGTATTCACATTCAAATCGAGAATGAAATACAATTTGCTTAACTGTCCTCACATTCCAAACCAGAACTAGTGAAGGAACAATGACAGAGGAATCCATTTATTCGACAATTACAGCAAGTTTATTCACTATTACAACAATATTGGCATGATGTCAATCACAACTCTCTAGATAACACCAATAAGAATAAACATCGTGCGTACTTTCGTTTGAAATTCTCACTGACTATGAAATCCAACCACAAGGTGTACACCCAGACGCAATACAAACCACGAACAAAACCACAATATGGGGGTGCTGGGGCTAGAAAAGGAAATGTTAGGACGACTAAACAAGATCAATGGTGTCAACACATCTCCCTTAACAGAGATCATGCTAACAAGTCTACTAATTATAACATTGTGTATTAAAAATTCCAGATGAAATAGTTTGTTGCAAACAAGGAAATTACACCTGATTAATTGATAAGAGTTGCTACTAGCATCGTTGTAATAATAACAATGGTAGTAATTATTATTATTACATTCTCTCCATTGGAAATTAATTATTAGTAGTGATTGACCCAAAATATGCGGTATGTTTAAGTTTTAGTTTTAAATAATTGGATTTCTAGCGCACGCAGTCTAATTTTAATATGGTCGAATCGTTAATGATGTAGACGAAAGATAGATCGTACTTACATGGTATATGTTCTATTGACAAATCCCGTTAACAGCAACGCATGTATCAAAAGTCGGATATAAGTTTTTTGGATGTTTGTGTTTCATTTATTTATTTCAGTGGACAGACGAAGAGATAAAAACACAGAAGACGAGGGTTTCTACTTAAAATATTACTCATCATAAGCGTTAATATGGCTCAAAATAGATTATATCATGGGGCGGCAAGGAGATAGCTATTGGGTAGAATAATGAATGTATAGACAATCAAACGCACATAAGACGCATAAGTGTGGATTTTTAAGGACATAAATGTATGAGGTATACGTGCTGAAGGCCACAGTTTCTTATGGAAATAGTAGTTGTTAGGATAGTAGGAATGAATTACTAGTCACATGTTGGCTGAATTATGAAAATTCTTCCAAAAGTTAGAGTTCATCACTCGTGAGTGTAAAATAACTCAAAAGTTTCTGAAAAATTGCCAGTCCTTGTAAAAATTAGCAATAATCTCATCAACTTATTTCGGTTTCTGAACAACTGACCATTCTTGTTTGTTTTTGTATTTTATTCTTGATAAAATAACTATTTCATATCATATACAATCATTTTGATTTGTACTTAGTGAACTCATTAAATGCTGATATTATTATTATTTTTACATTCTGTGTTTATCTTCTTGAACTCAACATACGCACATTCTACTTATTTTTAGAATTATTTAATTTGTCACGCAATGGTTCACTAAGTTCATCAAAAAATCCATTTACACATGGAGGTAGTCCAACAAGTTCATTTCCATTTCCAATTACTTTAGAAAATTTATCTGATATGAAGGATGATCGAGAAAAACATCGTGCCTCACGGATTCTTAAAGATGATGTTGATCGTCCATTAAAATTGGAAAAAAGCAACATTATATTGTTAGGCTCAACAGGTTCAGGTAATGTGGATTTCAAAATTATTGATTTTGGAAAAATAAGTAATTCCAAGTCTGTTTTATGTGAAATAGTTTTTGTCCTTTTTGTACTTTATTTTCTGGCGTAGGTGTATACACTCTCTGTTTTCCCTTAAACTATGAGATTAAAATTGCTTCATGTCTTTCTTTCCACGAACTAATTCTTTCTTCCTGTACCATGTCCTTATATGAAATCTTTCTTTTATATATCACCACCACTGAATAAACTACTTCTATGAATCTGCTGTTCATCTTGTTGTGTTAATGAATTATGACAACTTGGACCTATACACATATGTGCCTGGTATATTTTGTAGCTGACTGACTGAGTTCTCTGTGCTTCATCACTCAATCAAAAGAAAAAAACTTTGTACGATTAAGTAAATTTATTATTTATAAATATTCTGACCGTTTACACACTGTAAATGTGTGTGTGAATAATTAAATAATTAAAAAAGACAAATAATTATATTAGTTATTTATTTGTGACATAGTTTATCATTAACATTAATAACTTATGGAATGATTTGCTCAGATGAGAATGGGGACATGGAAACCTGTAGTAGTGGGTTGTATTGCTATATAATCCATTTATCTACAGTTCATTATACTTTTACACGTTAATAACGCTTTTTTATTGGTATACTTCAAGTAAAGTAACGTACGACTTGTAGTATCAGTTCAATATTTTGGAAATTTAACTGATTGGTATGGTGAGTCATAATGTTATTGAACATTCACTGTCTATTATAATATTAAAATACTGGTAACAGCATACGACTCAATACCTCATGTTTGTTCACTTAAAAATGACACATAAATTGTTCCATATTCCAGTGAGAGTCATTTCTAGGTCTCTGGGATAAGTATTGAGTAAACAATGGGTTGTAATTTGTATTCGACAGGTGCAGAGAAAGCAGAACATGAGATGTGGGTGGTTACATTCTTAAGTGAATTAGTTTGCATTTCTTTTATGAGTATTTGTCGTACAGCCATTTTATGGTATTTTTTTTAAAAACAATCCTAATTGTCACTGGTTTCTTGACTCATTAATTTCTCAGTGCAACTTATGAACTAGTCTTAGGTATACTACTATTGGAAATTTAGAAGCGCTGAATGACCGTCTTGTCCTAATATTGGGACTCCTCAGAAGCGAGCATCCAAGACACTTCACACGGGGATCGAACCCACATAAACGCTTAATATCTAAACCATTGTGCCGGGATACAATGATATACATGTTTAACTTCAATCATATGCTCACTAGTGACTAGCTTCAATATATAATTTCTTGAGTTTCAATGAAAAGCCGTGACCGATGGATTTCAACCGCGTTGTGTATGAGACACTTATCCACCTCAGTCAATGGAACATGGTCAGGGAATATCGTGAATTGATTAAAGTTAGACATTCACTATCTCACATGCGACACAAATTGAATTCATTGGTCACGGCCTCTCACTAGAACTCCAAGAGTTACATCTTGAAGCTAGTCAATAGTGAGCACATGATTTCTGTTATGTTTTTTGAATTGAAAATATACTTGAGTCGGTTAATCATCACCAACTTTTGTGGCAGAAGTGTTATTTATGTACTTAAATTTTGTAAGTTATAGTACAGTTTAATCTTGTTTTTTTAATTGTTCACTCGCCAAAATTAAGGATCTCGGTCCTAAAAAGTACTTGCGCCTGCTTGTTTCACCATGTGGCTCTTCTTTTTAAAGACTTGGAAAATTGGAGATTTTGTTAGTTCTGTGAAAATGATATAGTTGTGTTGGAAAACTTAGTTCTAACTCCTTGGACGACATAACTTCGATACATTGGGTACCTAGTACTTGCGTCTGAAGGTGAGGGGTGCGTGTAACATCTTGTTTGGTTGTTGGTGGTTTTTTACTGATTCATTATACAACCAAATAATCATTACCTTTTGTGTCAACAATTTCTTATAATATTCCCAGCCCTATCTTTTGTTGATGAATCCGATGACGTGTGAGATATATTAATTAATGTATCAAGATTGGTATCAATGCTTACTTCATGTTTCAAATAATAATACTTCGTTTATCCTTTTTTAATCTATATTTTAAAAATGAAACAATGAACCATAGTTACAGAATTCACTTTGATTAATTTATTTTCTTCAAACTCTTAACATGATCTCGTATTTTCTTATCAGTGTGCTCTTATCCTTTTGGCGTATGAAACATTCCATATGATGTATAAGTCTATTATAATCTCAACACCGCTTGAAAATTTTGGATTTTGTTATTTTTAGGCAAAACACTGTTGGCCCAAACTTTGGCTAATTATTTAAATGTACCTTTCGCTCTTTATGATTGTACAAGTATAACCCAAGCTGGTTATGTTGGTGAAGATGTTGAATCAACCATTGGTAGATTATTACAAAATGCAAATTTCAATGTGGAACTTGCTCAACAAGGTATAGTGGTTCTAGATGAAATAGACAAAATAAGCTCTAAAACTGGGCATCATCATGCTGCACGAGATGTCAGTGGTGAAGGTGTTCAACAGGTGGGATATATATATATATATATATACTTGGTTGTGATATTTTATATTACTTTTTACATGTTGAGTAATGTTTCTGATATAAAAGTTTTACTGCCGCGAAATGCTTCGGTTCAGGAGCCTTGGGTGGGGAGAGTCTGCAGATGCTGTCTGCGAAATTGAAAAGACGCAAAGTGATTGTCTGGAGCTTAAACCGATTTGGTGGATACAAATGACCCATCTACAAGAGTTGAAAATCCCTGATCCCAAACTAATGGTACACACGGGATTCACTATCCTAAAGTAACAAATTGCGTATACAACTATTCCTAATCACCGTATATTATGGGAATGCATCTCCTAACGTTGCTCAACAGCCTTGTGGATTAGATTTCTAGTCCACAATTTCTGGGAGTGCTTCCCTATACAAACCACTTGCTTTGGTTTGGGCGCCCGGGCAGTATCCCAGCTCTCACAAATTTTGTGTGATGCATATATACTTTGGTTCGCCTTTGTATCTGTTTTTAAGTTATAATAATAATAGTTATAAAATTTTACTGTAGTTAGTTTGTTGCTCGAATAAAAAGGTATTTTAATTGGTCCTTACTACTGCCGCTACTTTCGTTGTTAACACAACATTTATGTGAAATAAATGCTTGTTTGATGTTTTTTCCCCACTATCCAATTATCTATTTCTTATTTCTTCTTCAAAAATCATATTTATAGGCTATGTTAAAACTGTTAGAAGGTTCACTTGTTAACGTACCTGATGTCAAAAGTCCGCGTAAATTACGTGGTGAAACTTTCTTAGTGGATACAACCAACATACTTTTTATAGCCTGTGGTGCATTTAATGGACTTGACAAGATAATTAGTCGACGAAAACATAAAAAGGTTTGATTGGTTTCTGTTTTTTTGTTGTTCTAAAAAAATTTCCTTACTTTATCTTACGTTTTTATTTCAGGTCATCTGAAATACTTAATTTGTGTTCTTAATATACCCGTAGATCTAGTTAAACACTAAGTTTTATTCACCTGTATTGGTTGGTTAAATTTCCCCATTGGTTTTAAAACTGCAATTGATCAGTCACTTGGTATGTGCACGTCGTGTGCGGATTGTCCCGATATCCTCATTAAGTTACACGCACTTTAAACAGAGACGAATGATGGCTAACAGTGGAACCCAGGAGGACATTTAGTTCTATTGGGGCTCTGGGCGCCCGTGCATTCCAGAGGTGATGTTGACTCCAGGACTCGATATCTATATATGATTTCTCTTCATTTTTTTACATTTATACGTTTCAACTATGCTTTCGAAGTGTATCGTAGTGTTCTGATTGAAGAAAAAGAAATTCAACTTTCCTATTGGAAAAATCTAAGTTGTGATGTGTTCTCTTCTTTGCTAATAGAGTCCAACAATGTCCGTGAATGCATTTAGAATGTGAGCACTTAGTTTTGTTGGTGAATTCAGTTTAACAGGTTCAGGTGAACTGATGCTAAGATTACATTAACTAGTGAGAGGGCTGTCAAGTTGTATGTATTCATTTTAATAGAAGGTTTTCGTACGTAGCTAACCATAGTGTACTATTAATTTAGCATTCTACTATTTACTATTCATATTTTGGAAATAATGATCGACTGTTGTCATCGGTTGATGACACACACTGATCTAAGTGACTCAACATCACGTTCAGTATGTTGAGATGTAAGGTGATGGTTGGAGGTAGTCTATAGGGAACTAGATTCGGTGCCGTTTGTAACTCATTACCAAGGTGATCTTCGGAAAACTGATACTCCTCGGGGGGGGGTCGATCCTGTGTCATCCAGATTCACAGTCAAAAACGTTTTCGCTAAGCTATTCGGGTAGACCTGCAGGTTTGCTATGTATTTTACAGTTAACTGATCACTGAGTAGTGACCAATATGACATATTTGCAACTTGATCAGTAGAATTCGAAGGACTTAAAATCTATGACATTGGTTGCTACTTAGTGATCAATCAATTGTAAATACATCTCACACCTGCAGGAGGTCTACCCGGATAGCTCATCGGTAACATCTCTGATTGTGGAGCTGGATGACACAAGGTTGAATCCCCCAAGGGTCATCGGTCCCCCCAAGATCATCTTAGACGAGTGCCAAACGACACCAAACCTAGTTTCCTATCGATTATCTGGAACCATAACTTCATACCCGGAAAAATATTTCTGTATAATACTCTGTTTGCTATCGAGTAAATTGGACTATCAGTTTGTGGTGATGTTAGTTAAATTGGCCTAGAAGTCATTTCCTAATATTACTGATCAGTAGTAGTATCCCTGTAACTTTTTTCCACCCAAGTTAATAAGTTTTCAGATTTTTGTAGTTTGAATTCACATTCACCTACGTTCTTTGTTTTAATTCAAATTTTAGACTATTGGATTTGATATGTTGACACCTTTGAATGAATCGACTACACGAGATAATTGCACTTCATCAGTCAATCCAAATACGACAGATTTTGTAAATTTATTTCAAAGTTTTGAAAGTTCAGCTCATGAAGAAAATGCTGAACGTGATAAATTGTTACAAGAAGTTGAAGCTAATGATCTTATTACTTATGGGATGATACCGGAATTCGTTGGTCGTTTCCCTATAATTACTGCTCTACATTCATTAAATGAAGAAATGCTTGTCCGTGTTCTTACAGAACCACGTAATGCACTGATAAAACAATATCAATTACTTTTTAATATTGATGGTGTAAGTGTTAGTTTTATAATTACTGTATGATCAATTAATTTTTCTCACTTTATTAATTATGCTTAAAATATTCTGAATTGAGACAATAGTGCAATTATTTACATGTATGTGCATGTTTGTGGGATCCAACGAAGAGGTGTTGATCAATTATACGGACACAGAAGCTGGCACATATTCACAACCGTTCAAGTTGCCACAGCACATCAGCATAGCGAAATGTCAGATTACTACAAGTTGCATCAATATTAATAGTAGTAGGACCGATTAGACATAGATTCGGTTCGAGAAAACAGTATAGATTCTTTGAGTAAAGTTATTTATACGATCAAATGTACACTGCAGTTTATGTCATAAACATAAACAAAGATGAAATTTTAAATGTAAAAATACATTTGTTAGTAAATCGGGGTGTGTCGTAATATGACTGTGAAACTACTAGTTGAAGTAGCAGTAATATCAATCAGTAACATTCCTACATCAACCATCATCATGCGTCGAAATGAAAGGTGGTTGGGTATAGGCATAATTCATGTGTCTCAATAACTTCAGTCGACGAAGATTCACTGCCGCCACATTACTCGATTTGTTATCCTTACCTGGTCACCATACATGAGCAGCAATATTATTCTCTCGTAGTTGTACTGGTCACAAATGTGTGTGATACTTTTCTAACATTTTTATTTCTCGACCATGGTTTACTACTTTATTGTTTACTAACAATAACAAAAGTAATAGCAGTAGAACTGTTTAAAAGGCAGTATATCCTGATCAGGAGTTTTGAAACGGAGTTGTTATAGAGCCGGAGAAATTGATCGTAAGCGTCACAGAAAATAGATAATGTTTAATAACTGTGGAAGTAGGTTAGTCAACATGATGATTTTCAGTATGGGGTTGGAGAGATTGCTGAATTTCATTGAAATCATGAACCTATCTAAGACAACCATTGAAAACCTGAAAGTAGTGAATGGCCATTTCGTCTTAGTATGGGACTCCCTGGAAATCTGTATACACAACCCTCCAACTTGGAATCGAACCCGTGACCTTCAGTCCTGCCTACGAACGCCTAACCTCTAGATCACTGAGTAGGGATTCATAATAAGATAAATTTAAAATTGAAGTATCATCAACGCCAGGGAAATAGGACTAAGTCGGTCTAACAGGAGAAGTTAAGAAAGATAGTAAATGATTTGTGAGACCAGAGATTACGATCATGTCTGAAGAATAGCATTGGCTCCTCAGATAACTTACTTATTTAAATATCTTGTACGTCATTTCAGTTAGTTGATATCATTTTCTAATCTATTTTGTTTCTCTATTCTGATTGTCTTCTCTGCCTTTCTATTTGTTTTTTTTGTTCTGATTCTTAGTGTGAACTGAGAGTCACTCCTGATGCTCTAAAAGCTATTGCTCGACTGGCATTAAGTCAACATACAGGAGCTCGAGGTCTTCGTTCAGTCTTGGTAATTATATGTTTCTTATGTTTTTTTTTATTATTTTTATTTCTTGTTTAGTGATTGTCTACTTACATTTAGTTTGTGTATACCATTCGTATTTGTCATGTTTTATGCTTTTTTCCACGATTCTCGATAACGATAATTTTTAAAGAATTGGTTTTTTAAATGAAAGTTGTTATGTTCTATGGCCCGTCAAATGTTACGTGAAAAGATCGCCAATCAGAACAACGACTTATATGACATTATCCGTGTGCCAAACCAATAATGCGTTAACCATCACAACCAGCCTTGAGTCAACTCTGGGTCCTCTGTATGGTAGGTTCTCGCCTAACCCAGCCTGGTTCAGTCCAGAACACAAATATCAGCCTCCGCTATATGAATCGTATACTTCAGACATACTTGGTTTATATGCTAGCAGACTAGACCACATCACACCATAAAATGTAAAATAATAATTAGACAAGATAGAGCCAAAAGTGTCTGTGAATATGAGAAACTGCAACTAATAGATTAGAAATTATTTAAGAATAATGAATCGTATAATAGTAAGCAGTAAGTCAAATGAAAGCTTATAATAAGAGAAATATAAATATATGTAATCTAGTTACTTGATAGTTATACAATAAGAATATGTACATATAATAACAGTCCATAAATAGTTCCTAGAAATTACCCATAATTTAATCTTCTTTGGATATGACAGAGGTGGGCTTATATCTTCTAAGAAATCAAAATAATTTAGTGTGTTCTTCCTAGCTGTACAATGTTTGTTGGAAAATAGAAACATGTTGAATTGATTTGACATATTCATTGGACTTTTGTTTTTAAAGTGCATACTATAACCCCCACCTCTCATACTTATTCCTCCAAATTATATATTGTTAATAAAATTAGATGTATGCTTAAGCATCATATAGAACTAAACAGCTAAACTATGCCCTCTTTTCTCATGTTTCACCCAGTCCATAGAGCAATTACACTTTCAACCAATAAGTCTGAGATTCTAATCTTGCACTATTCGATTTAATCAGGTCTCATACAATGTTACTTAAAACTGAGTACATTTACATATAGTTTGGTGTTACATTAAGTAAAATAAAATAATGTCATTATAATCACGCAGATAAAATAATAGTAGTATCTATAAGTTTGAATACTTATGGGTTTCTAAACAAAACATAATTATGCGAATAATGATCTTATATCATACAACTGATGTCAATGGCTCTAATTTTATGATCAGTTTATTTCATGATAGTGTTGGCTGTATTTATTGGACATTTGTGCTAGTAGTAGCGTTGTCGTGGCAATGTTTCTTCCTTGACATAGAAGATAATTAATAGTGATAAAATCGGACCGAATGCTTATTTCAGTAGCTTTTTTTCTAAAGGTTTTTTTTTCGTGATATTCATTATATCGCTGACTGAAAATTCATTTTCATTAGGACAAAACAAACATCACAAACCCTTTTGATGTTGAATTATCAGACTAATTAACTGCATTGTACAACTTATATTCAAAGAACTTATATTTCTTGTTAGTTATAGTCCACATTGACAGAATGACCAAAGCCAGAAAAATCACACATCAAAGCTACATAACAAGCTAAAAGCATGCATAGATGAGCCATAATAAATAAGTAAATTACTTATCTAACCTAGTTCACTATACATATGTCCATGCCTGGGTTAGTCTGTCTATATTTACAAATACTTGTGAAATCTGAGTACTTTCATCCGACCTGTGGCAACACAATTCTCTCACAGTCTTTCTTTATCTTCAGTTGATTAAGCGTTAGGAGCATGAATAGTAGTTGATATAGGAAGTGCGTCGTAGAAACGATCTGTCGGACTTGCGATTCGATTTAAGAAAGAAGAGCTTTTCAACAAAGAATGTTGGAAAAAGTGGTACCATTCCTTTGTCTTTTTATGTATTGATTGATTGAAATCTAACTCAATGGAACAATGTTCTTTCGTTATTTATTCTTTTTAATGTAATAAAAGTCATCGGCTAAATGTATGAAGCTACATAAATTTATGTCTGACCTATTCACTTCCAGTTTAACCATATTATTTATTCATAAATTATAGAAGGTATCATTTGCTGAGGATGCTAGATCCCCAGAAATCACTTGGTTAACGTCTCATTTTTGTAATTTTATTCTAGAAATTTGAATTTTTAGTTTTCGCGCCGAAAGAGCCTATTTTTTTTTACCTTCCGATTGTATTTTCCATTTGGTTCAAATTCAAATTTCTAGAATAAAATTACAAAAATGAGACGTTAACCAAGTGATTTTTGGGGATCTAATATCTCCGACATTATTGTAGAATCACTTGCCACAAGACTGATTGATCTCTGGACCATTACACTTAGTAGAAATTCATCAACTTCATTATTCCTTAAACAAATGAAAATACTTTTATAATTTCATAGATTCAAGCATTTGAATAAAGCGAAACAATAATAAACTAATTTTATTTATTTGAACAAATAAAAATTGGTACAAGGGACACCAAATATATATGTGCCACACAATAAAAGGAGGTTGTGAAGTTATGGAGAAAGGAAGGTAAGTATAATCAAAATAGGACAAAGATGAATAGAAATTATTGTGAGTGAATAGTGATAAAATAATAATAATAATAATAATAATAATAATAATAATAATAATAATAATAATAATAGTAATAATAATAATGGGAGTATTTCAGTCAGGAAAAATACAACCAGAAAGAATCCTTTCAGTTAAAAAAGTTACGTTCACTTTTATGGAGGAATTTACAGTAGGTTCGCCATTATCTTTTATTATAAGCGATTTCTGATAGCGTCTCAAGTTACTGTGTTACGCTATCTCTAGGACCCTAACCAAGTAGTCATGAAGAACGAACAGAAGCCAGTCCTGTACAGCTTTCCTTCTTACCACGACACCATATCGTGCACTGACCATCTCTCCGCTTTTTTTCAACCAGTTACATCATCGGCATTTATGCACAATGTAGAACTCGCTGGTACAACATTTGTAGGACATGTCTAAGCCATCAAAGTCGACGTTCCAAGATAGTGACACTGATTGAGTTGTCGTCACTGTGCTCAGATACGATGCTGAACCTCAGCATTACTAACATGGTGTTGCCGTTGAACGTAAGCAGGCCTTCGAAGACGACGATGATCAAGCAGATAGTCGTTCAACATCCTCGACTTGGAGAGGCCAGGTTTCACAAGCATAAAACAAAACTGCTCTTATCGATGCGTTATAGATCCGACGTTTTACAGCCGGACTAGTCAGTCAGCTACAACGTAGGACCATACACATATATGCATCGGTCCAAGTTGCTTCACCTCATTTGCGCAACAAGTTGAACACCAAATTCATATAAGTAGTTACTTCAATGGTAGTAATATTTAAAAGATTGTGTATACAGGAAGAAAGAATTAGTTCGTAGAAAGATATAAAGCAATTTTAATCTCACGGTTTAAGGGAAGACAGAGTGTATACACCTGCGCTATTGTGATCGATTCTGGGCCATGTCACGAGCATTTATGTAGCTACCCACATACACGAAACTCACAACCTACTATTGTGTGCACTTATTGCAGTAATATTCCGTCGGATACCCAATAATTTCGATAAAGTAAGCATCCGATTTCAATGTTTTTATTTCGACTGTTGTTATGAAAAACTGAATTTTTCCTGATATGTGGGCAAAAATGTATTCTTAGTGATTGGAACTTGAAAGATTATTCATAATAGAAACGAATCCTGTATTGTTCTAATATACGATCGCGGGTTGGTACAAAAATCAATAAGTTGTAGAGAGAACTTCTCTCAAACATTTACCTGTAGCAAACCTTAAGCTTTTCATCTATTTCTCTTGGACAAGTGTATTTGCTCTGTTCATTACTAGTACTATTGTTAGTATTTTCCTTTCGACTTCTGGTTTCCTGTCGATATATTAAATAGATAGTAGAGCCCATGTTTTTTTTTAAGATAGTCGGACTTCATACAATAAGTCGGAAGTTCCAATCCTGCTTCATATACTTCGGTTTGGACAACCGGAAGCCATCATTACTGCTCATACATTTAGACTATGGCTCAGTCAAGTACATAAACGTGTACTTGTACGAAATTTGACAACTGTTACGTCATTTATGAGCTAACTTTTTAACTGAGTATCAGCTACAAATATAGTTGAATCAAATTTAAATTTGTAATTTAATGAATTTAGTTTAATCATATGAATACCGTTCCTACGGTTCCAAACCAGACAATTTATGCCTATATTCTGATAGTTCTCTCTGCATTTGGGACTCTGTTTTTTCATGTGATCATATAGATTGTCTAAAGTCATCACATTCTGTCCAAGGCTTTTAATAGTATAATTCTCCAATATCCCCTATCCATACTCTTCTAAGTGTTTCTTAACAGTAGACTTTACGCGTGAATATTGTCACTTTCTTTAAAGAAATAATTTCGTACTGAACTTTTATCCTATTTTCCAAATTAGTGAAAAAATAATTTGTTTTTGCATAGTATATTCCCTCAATCTGAAAATATTTGTACTATTAATGTGTACTAATATGTTATCTCGCAGTTGTTCAATTCACCAATCAGCTGATGTTTTTTTTCTCTATCTAGTAAGTTAATGATGATTTTATTTTAATCAAGGGACTTTATGTTTTCATAGTTATTTGTAGAAATAAAAATCCAGTTTTGGACAACGTCATCTGACTTATGATCAAATAATAAGTTTTGAATAAATGGGAGTGTTCATACTTTATACAATATAAAAATTGGCATTGTTTTAATCCATGCAGAATTTATTGGCAATAAATGTAAACATTTATTATATATATCTAGGTAGAAATTCACTTGAGAATTATAGTATATACAGGGATGAGCTTAGAATACGACCTTGACATATTTTAGCCCTACAGTTTAGCAACTAAATCGATTGTTTATACGAAATCAAATAATAATAATAATATTACAAAAGGTAAACAAATTT